GTGTGACCGCCCTTTGCCTTCTTCTAGGTAGACTTGAAGGTAGTTTTTGAAGGAACTCAGCAGGTAGGTTGTTCTAGGCACATCTTGTAGAACTAAGCACAGATCGGCTGTCGGCTGCCTCAAATCCTTCTGTCTCTTCATGTAATCCCAGACAGACTCCATGGTGTTGAGATCAGGGCTCTGTGGGGGCCAAACCATCACGTCCAGGACTCCTTGTTCTTTATGCTGAAGATAGTTCTTAAAAGGAGAACTATGGGGTTAAGGCTTTTCCCCATAGTTCTCCGAAGGGTAACGGGAGGACGCAAACCCAAAGCCAAAGCTCAAAGGACGCAAACCCAAACCCAAAGCTCAGTATACTGTGTATACTGTATGTAGTATACTGAGACGCCGCAGCTGAAACGGATCAAGACAATTATGTCTGTATCCGCCCAGCTGCGTGAGTGACAGCTGGCTCTGCCCTTCTAGAGGCAGGACCAGTTGTACCCGCTCCCTCCCCCGTCCGTTCCACCAATCAGCACTAGAGGATCTGAGCATGGAATCCAGTCCCTCCCCTGTCACGGCTCTCTGCCGTGACAGGATCGAGAAGTGAGCGAAAGCCGGTATGTATTCGCTCACTTCCCGATCTACTGAGCCGGCCTGTGACAGTCTCATTGTCACAGGTCAGCTAGAACTATGAGGATGAGTGAAAAGCACTCGCCTCATAGTTTTCCTTTAATGACATTGGCTGTATGTTTCAGGTTGTTATCCTGCAGAATAAATTTGGGGCCAATCACACTCCTCCCTGATGGTATGGCATGAGGGAGAAGTATCTGCTTATATTTCTCAGCATTGAGGACACCATTGATTCTGACCAAATCTCCAACTCCATAGGGAGAAATGCAGCTCCAGACTTGCAAGGAACCTCCACCATGCTTCACTGTTGCTGCAGACACTCATTATTGTACCGCTCTCCAGCCCTTTGGCAAACAAACTGCCTCCTGCTACAGCCAAATATTTCACATTTTGACTCATCAGTCCAGAGCACCTGCTGCCAGCAAAACATAGGAACTGGGGTATATAGACTGAAACCTTTGTTGCTGATAAACCGCACACATCTTCTCCTTCACGTAATAAAAATTAATACTAAAGAGCGGAAACGTTGTAAAAACTTTTTAACATTCAGCGTGCAAACGATGAAAACACAGGTTTAAAACCGCTTAAAAAAATCATAAGAAAATGATTGTTGCCTTAAAGCGAAGAGCAGAAATTCAGTCAGTGAGCATTCCATCCTCTCCGAGCCAGACATTGTCCAAGGGTGTTTTAAACAATCTTCAATGATAATGAATATCCACGGGGCGTGCGCTGCGGCAGAAAGTAGTGATAAGTTCTATCCTCTCTGCTAATCAAGCGCGGTACATCCGCCCGAGGCCAGCACAGAAGTTAATTAACCTAATTCAGCAGCCCTTGCACAGAAGCGGTAAAGCCTTGTTGAAAAACATGAATACATTTGGAAAGCGCCTTTCACAGGAAGCAAAATTATTTCTACTGCTAATCTGAGTCCGGATAGCGGCAACATCAGGTTGGCGCTAAAGGTGTCCATCGCCTCTGTATATAATATCTGCCTGCCTTTGTCGTACTGCGCTTTGGCCAGGTCCTGCCGTGATGGCATAGAGTGTGACGAGTCCGATGAAAGGATTGCCTGCTAATCTACACTGAAAAATTAGCAACTGGTACTCAGGTAATTAGCGATTCTACCCCGACATGCTAAAAGTCATCCCGATAACGAGCACTTCCGCTGCTCATTATTGCATTCTAGACTGCTATGCAGCAGGAAAATTAGAAGCCAGGCTCGAATCTGTTCCGTGGCGTGATTTATTGCACCCTGTCTGGCCACCCCTTAGGGCTAAAGCTACACTGGTGATTTTAGATTAGCTGTTTCGAGATCTTCAGTGTGAATCTGAATGCAATTAATCATACGGGGCTAAGAAAGAACTCCGATCCAAGCGAAAACTCTTCTATAGCGGTTTGAATCTAATTATAACCTGTTTATTATTTCTGAAGCTGCGAGAGCTGCTAATACAGAAATGATATGATCTCCCAAAACACAGAGAATAATAAGACCTTTTTTGCACTCTTCCTGTGTAGTCACTAAGACGGGTAGAGAGTTAAATCTCTCCAATAGAAGAAAAGACAGCAATTAAAATGTCCTGTCTGATCTTCTCTGTGTAAAGCCCATCTCCAGGGGAACAATCCCCCTCACTCTGCAGTGTAAGTACCCCCGTACTGCAAGGGCTAACAGCTTGGGACTGGTGTAAACCAGTCTTACCTGATCACCACTGCCCTGGCGGCCGACACTTCACTCCCCTATGCCCCAACTTGTGGACTGTTCCTCAGCGTCCTCCCATACAATACATGACTATGGGCAGCAGAACTGCTTTACACCGGTCCCCCAGAACGCCTTCAGCACAGCTTGCTGCTGTGAACAGACACTTAGGAACAACTTCGGAAAATGGTCCTTTAAATTTTACATGCCCTCGAATGGCAGCCACCTTGCAAAATACTTGCCTCCAGCCCCGATCCTAAAGTTCTCCACCGCGTGCAATCCTGCCCAGTGCCGCACAGCCTTCACTAAGGAAAGTCTTGGCCGCATCAAGCTCCTACTGTACACATCTATTGCTTCCTATGGCTGGAGCCGTACTCCTCTCTCTAGATATCTGATGGTGGCCATAGGTATGGCTCCGGCCATATGAATAACCCGGTCCAAGCAAGGTGCATACACAGCAGAAGCTGGATGCAGTGGAACTTTTGCCAGGGACCGCAAGAGCCCAGGGAAAGGGTCCGAAGACAAGTATATTAGGTAGGTGGCTGCCATTTAGGAGGGATGCAGGAACATTTTTAGTGAAGCTGTCCTTTATTGTAATTTTCAATATGTCCCACAGTTTTGTAAAGTATATAAAATAAACAAAAAATGCAAGAAAAAAAGTGGGCACAGCAAAAATATCCAAACAGTCCGCCCGCAGCTTTCTGAGTGAGTTATGTTGCAGCTATCTCTACTTGTACTTGTTTGGCAAAAGCAAAAAAAAAAAAAATCAGATTTAACTGCCAACACTAAATCAAGAGAGGAACAATAGCACTTGAATTCCATACGCACCTATGACCGTTTCATATTTATGCCCATTATTTGCTACAGGAGGGTGGTCCCATCTATCATATCACATCTCTGCAGCGCCAGGCACCCACTTCTGCCATTATTACAAGTTGGCTCTGTGCAGGTTTTAAATCAGATTTTTTTTTTATAAAGTGATAGCAGCGCAGATGTATTGCTCTGGTCACAGGCCGCTATAAATCACAGAAATTGCTCAAAAGCCGCTTAAATACTGAGCAGAACAATTTGTGCTGCATGGCAGTGAATGGATATTGCAATAAAGGGATATTTATGTGCAATACTGAATCCTGCACTTCAATAAGCATTGCTTATATTCATTATTCCAAGACAAAGTCCCATGCCTCTCTAAAGGGGTTGTGTAGGACGTGTTGCCAGAGATGTGTGTATTACCTACAGGAGTTTATTTTTACACTGAGCCGAACTCCAGGTGTTAATATTAATGTATACTTCACTGGTCCAGCTTGGCTCACTGTATATATACATATTTTATACCTGGCAGGCCCAAGGGGATCGGGTAAAACACAGCAGTAGCCCAAACTACCACAGTGCCTTGCAGCAATCTTCTGGGTCCTGGTACTGTGCTGAGCGACTTCCCCTCTGCTCTGAAAATGGCCTTTCAGAGAATGCCTGGTATTTTTATCAATGAATACTAGACAGACATTCTCCGATTGGACGTTCCCAACCCAATCAGAGAACGCCTAGTATTGATTGATAAAAATACTAGCCGTTCTCTAAATGGCCACTGTGCTGAGTGAGGGACCCCCCGGTTTTTTTTTTTCACAGCAGAGGAGAAGCTGCTCAGCACAGTGGCTATAGAGGACTCACCTACTGTGGCATGCTGAGTAACTTCCACGCTGTTCTGAACACAAAGGGGGTCGCTCGCTCGGCACAGCAGCCATTCAAAGAATGTCTAGTATTTTTTTCAATGAATATTAGACGCTCTGATTGGATGTTGCCACACCTTTTCCAGTCAGAGAATACAGAGGTGAATTTATTACAACTGGAGCAGACAAAATCTAGAGCAGCTGTGCATGGTGACCAATCAGCATCCACCTTTCATTTTCAAACCTTAACTAAACAAACTAAAGAGAGAAGCTGATTGGTTGCCATAGGCAACTGCTCCAGATTCTTCTACTCCAGTATTGATAAATTCTCCCCATAGTATTTATTGATAAAAATACTAGCCATTCTTTGAATGGCCAATGTGCTGAGCGAGCGATCCCTTATGTTTTCACAGCAGAGGGGAAGCTGCTCCGCACAGTGACTATACAGGACTCAGGTACTGTGGTGTGCTAGGCGACTTCCACTCTGTTCTGAAAACATAGGGGGTCGCTCGGTCAGCACAGCAGCCAGAGAATGCCAACTATTTTTATCAATGAATACTAGACATTCTCTGATTGGACATTGCCACCCCTTGCCCAGTCTGAGAACACCTAGTATTCATTGATAAAAATACTAGCCATTCTCTGAATGGCTGCTGTGCCGAGCAAGCAATCCTCTGTGTTTTCACAGCAGAGGGGAAGCTGCTCAGCACAGTGGCTGTACAGTGATGGTAGTCGCTGTAAAACAGCTCTGGCTACCAAAGTGTTTTGCAGGATCCCGGCGGGCTAACCAGGTTTGGTCAAAAATGTGCGGACCTGTTCCTTACTGTTCCCTAACTCTGCATTCTTCCTCTCTACCCACCCTGCCTGCTCCTTTGTAAACTCCGATGTCATGATGTCGAAACATTTGTGTGTGCCAACATAAGTGAGCAGCATACAAACAGTAAGTAGATTAAAGTGTATCCTTACAGCCATTTACAAACATATGTCAATATATATGAGACATTTAATCTAACGCATAGCAGAATCATTACCTGGTGTATTATTTCAGATACAGGAAGCTGGTTGGCGTACGTCCTTATGTCCATCACAGAAACATCAGGTGAATACCTGAAATTCAGATTAAATGATCATTTATCATAGTAGTTTATAGAATATATGATAATCAATTGAATCCATGAAACAATCATTTCAGCCCAATTACAGTGAGGTTAAAGCCAAAAATTATTATTATTAACCCCTGCAGTGGGGGTGCTAGTTTTGGTCTAGGAAAGAAAATAAAGTTAAACTCACCTAATCCTTAGAGCCAATCAGATGTGACAGTGCTCCTTCCAGCGATGGTCTGTCCCTCAGCGTCCTCCTTTAAATTAGTCAATTCCTCCTTCATTTGTGTTTTTCAAATGCTCCCCACCCCAGACACTGCAGCTCACAATGGGAGGATGTAAGCAGCACAGTCACTTCTGCCAATTCAGAATGCAGTGGGCAGGACTAGGTGCTGCATGAGGTGGACTTCACTGGCAGGATCAATAAGTATTTGTAAGACTTTGCAGGAGGGAGGGGGGAATGGAAAGTGCAGATACACAAAAAAAAAATGTGATGAAGCATTAAATTGTTAATGGGTGGCCACAGTTCTACCCTAACAAAAGTGAAGGTTTCCTTTAAAGCAGACCGTAACCCTTTTCACTAAAAATCACGTCGCCTGGTATGAAGTCATCTTACGTTCATTAGTTAAACATATTTTATTTTTTACTTAAAATTACTGTTTTTCCACTTCCTGGTCCTCTTTCGCAAAAGTGATGTAATGTGCCTAAGTGATGCATCCTGGGAAGGTTACATCAGCAGAGCTGGGAAATCTCATCTGTAATTTCATGATCTCAGGGAAAGGCATTTTCCTCCCCTGAGATGATGTGCATGGTCACATGGCCTAGTCACATGCACCAGAGTTCCAGGAAGTAAAGGGAGATGGATTAATCTGCCCTTAGTAAAAAATGGCCACTGTGAGAAGAATGGGGAGGAAAAGAAAAGTAAGGTATGCAAAGAATAAAAAGGCAATAATGTAGAAGTATCTCTTTATAGATTGTCATTATTAAACATTTCTAAGGGTGTCTTTGTTGTCATGTCACAGATTTGGGTAAAGTTCCTCTTTAACCCCTTCGTGACTGACGACGTACAGTGTACGTCGCCAGCATCGGGGCTGTTTAAACTCTTTGGTGGGCAAGGCAGATAAGGAAAATTGTGCTATGGGGGCTCCCTAGAAATGTATACAATTGGGCTCAATAGACAAAGGTCTCTGCTTGAGCCTATAAAACACAAGCCTAGAAAAAATTCAGCCTAAAAAGAAAAAGTCTCTAAAGCTGATTATACGCTGATCAGTATTCCTCTCTACTGCCGATAATGACTTCACATCAAATACGCCGATTCTGACACTGCTCAATTCTGCAAATATTTATCAGCGAAAAGACCTGAGCACAGAAAGTAAACCCTGTGTTGTGTTTTGTTTTTTTGTAGTCTATGGTGCGCTGCCTAATACACTTCAAAGCCTTCTCTCTCCATTAATGAAATAAAACAAGCCACATCAGAGCCGTCAGAGGCTTTTAAAGTTTTTTTTTTTCTTTTTCAGCTGAAAGTGAAATTATCCCCAAACCAAGAAGTGTAAATAAAACCGAATACGCAACACCTGAGACTGGAACAAAATGTCACGCACAGAATCACCGCTTCTATCGAAGGATAGAAGAATCACTGCTTTTATCTGAGGATTTCAGCAGGGAAACTAAACAGTGCCTTATTACAAATAATAGTGAATAATAAACACAGCATAACGCAATACACTAAAATCTTCCAAATTAAAAGACCTAAAGTAAAATCAGCGCAGATGTACGATTCATTCACCTGACCTTTGGGTGCATCTAGAATAGAAGGTGGTGTGGTCTACGACATGCTGGCTCATATCAGAGAATGTATGCCATTAAAGACCCTTCACCCCATTATCCAAACTGAACACCGGGCTATACAGCCAGACAACTTTCATGTTAAAAAATAAAATTTATATATGTGTGTGTGTGTGTGTGTGTGTGTGTATATATATATAATTATATACACACACGGTCAAAAATATTGGCACCCTGCATTTTTGTCAGATAATGCCCCCACTTTGCGCAGAAAATTGTTGCAATTGCAAATGTTTAGGCATTCTCATGTTTATGTCTTTTGTTTGCATTGGTATAATACAAAAAAAGTGGGGGGGGAAACAGCAAAACCTGACACATTCCACGCAAAACTCCAAAAATGGCCTGGACAAAATTATTGGCACCCTCAATTAATATTTGGTAGCAGAGCGGAAAACAATAACTGAAATCAATGGCTTCCTTTATTATGGTTTTCTATTGTGTTGTTACAAACACACGAACAAATAAAAATCCCCTCCCTCTGGAGCGCCACCACCCCCCTCCCCCACACACACCCTGTTTTGTGATGAACTGCTAGCGCCAAGCTCCTACTCGACTAGAGAAAGTTTGTGGTCCAGTGTCTCTTCCCCTCTCACCCTTGGAACTGAATAAAATTAAAACTGTTGGCTCCAATGTATAATGAAAAATGGTTATTCAATTATAACAATGTGTAGAAGCTCAAATCTTCAATCAAGCTGTACTGAATTGGTACCATTGCAAATTCACATATCCTTGCAAGATCTGTGTATATCCAAAGGCCACATATACATGCAAAACATGTTTTAATATGTAGAAGCCAAATTGGGTAAACACAATATCAACTCAGACTTTTTATAATTATATAAATATGTTAAATTCTACCATAAGATGTTATAAAACAAAAATCCTTCCACATGCTAACGACATGCTAGAAGGTGGCCCTGGTGTGTGCGAGTATGTATGCATGTGCAATAGGGACTTAGATTATAAGCTCTTCTAGGGCTGGGACTGATGTGAATGTGCAGTACATAAAGTTCTCTTTTTGTTCCAAGACCAATTGTTTCTTTTTAATTAAACTGATCGCTAACTAATCAAATTTAGTGAAATTGATTTCTGAAAGAAACAATTATTTTGCAGAAACAAATCTGTACATAAGGATCATGATTCAAAGGGCACGTAGCATTGTACATAAGGATCATGATTTAAAGGGCACGTAGCATTGCTATCAGTCGGGAAAGCACAATTGTTATCTTCAGAGTATGACCCCTGTACATACCCCATCTCTTCTGGTTTCCTGAAAGGTGTGGCAAGGGCCCATTTCCATGTTCTGCTTGTATATCAAAAGCTCGTTTTTCTTCAACATCACCCACCAATAGTTCGGTCTCGCTTGGGTTTTTCCTGAAAGCCGGAGGACTAATTTTCATTTACTTTGCGTGGCTGGCTGCCCTGGGAGTCCCCAAATCAAATTAAGCAGTAAGCCAATACAAGATGAATTACACTCCGGGGACGCATTTATATTCTTTTCAGCAGCACTGAATTTACCCATTTCCATCTAGGAGCAATTTAGAAAATCCCTGCAAAGCGCGTTTAACTTTTCCCCGTAACAGGTTTACTGGATAGCAAGCAGGCTCCACTGCTTGACCTTACCAGTGACTCGCTCCTCCACTCCTTTTCACTTACCACAGCATTAAAAAAACAAAAAAGACCGTCCTTCTGGGTATGGTGCAGCACATGACTTTCTTCCCTGCCCAATAGTTTAGTACTTGAGGCCCGAGTATCCAAAACCAGCCTGGGAGCTATCACATTAGGGCAGAAAAAGTTCCTTAGTCCTGTGTAAATTCCAACTCAGACCTGACCTAGATCATACACAGGGATTTTGGGGGGCATGTCACTATGTCGTCTAGAAGAAGGGACCCTGCGTGGCCCCGAACAGTTGGCTGTATGTTGCATGTGACAATTTAATAAAAAGTGCTTTACTTCTTGCACACATTATCGAGTGCTGGTGACTTCTATTATGGACGGCATCTGACACAGCGCCATCCGTGTTGTCACTTCATGCACTAACCCTCCGTGTTGTCACTTCAAGCACCAACCCTCCGTTAAGGTCTGTATGCTGTATGGAGTACAGGTGATTTGGGGTTATCGATTATGGGGGGCCTCTCGCAGCAGAACTGGGCACAGAGAGGGGGAAAGTGGAATGCAAGCAAAAGCACCAATGGGTGCTTGCCATCCAGCAATTGGATTACTTTGCATTAGATGGGAAAACAAAGGGTTCACTTTGCAACTTTAACCTTAGACCAACTCTGTCACGTGGAAGAAAGGAAGTTAATCACATGCTCTCCTTATCCGGAAGTGCAGCCTTTATCTCTTTACTCCCATTAATGGAAGGGAAGATGAGGCTAAGCAGCTGGAAAGGGAGACGTTAGGGGAACCTGTTGATTTTCTGTGTATGGGCAAAGCACTGGTTGGTAGAGACTGTGTCTACTGATTTCTGTCCATTTTAAAACTGCTTCTCTCCCCAAACAAGTCCATGAGAATGCAAACACAACTAAAGTAAAGTAAAATTCAGGTCAACTGCACCTGCAGTTAATTCTAAATGATCTCAGGACCATCTCAAATTTTACCATCAACAAAGACCCTAAAACTGCTCTTGTAAAAAAAAGTCTTGGGGGGGAAGGTGGTCAAAGCCCGGCACTTTCAATGAACTTTTGAGCCTTCTCATCTCCCATGGAAACTGGTCAGTGAACCGCTAGTGCATGGCCTGCAGAATGAAAATCTATTTAAAACAGCAGTCTTACGAAACAATTCGATTCTCCGGCTTCTTTATTCTATTACATGTGAATCTCAAGATTAGATGAGGCGCTTCAAAGAATAATCTATGTGTCCTGCTGTACTGGATCAATAGATGACAATTCAAACTACAATAGGTTTACAGCATCATTGAGCAATTCATGGGCAATACAAAATATATATCTGAATTGCGAGCTGAACTTCCATCAATACTCATTTCATATTTCAGTGATCGCAATGCTGCAGCAGCAATTATGAAATTTCTAATTAAATAGATAGTGAGCTTGTTTGGGCTGGGCACTTATTCTTAGAGTTTCATTATTTCTATATGGTTTACTGTCATTGCTAAACGCATTGAATGTCGTCAACTTGCAGTGCACTGCGGAGGATGCTAGA